GGGGGGGGGGGGGGTTCGGCTTCAACAGACGGGGTGGGACGTCCGCCTACATTTATTACATGCACTCCGTGAATCCATGCGTGACTTATTTCCATGGGGACTCACATTCCACTAGTTTCGTGGTTCGGCTCTCACGTGGAACCCGGTCGCGAGTAATCTAGCTAGCTCATCGGAAGTTTTTTGCACTACAGGCACGGTCGAAACTGGATGGTTTCTCCCATGTCGTCGTCGTCGTCGTCGTCGTCGTCGTCGTCTTTGTTGTCGTTGTTGTCGCTGTGGCGGATGTTGTCAATGTTCCCCCCACCCCCGGTCCTGTCGGAACAATGCTCGGTCCTCTCTAGGACCCGCGTTGAATGCTCCACCCGCTAAGGCATGCTAAACATCGGCTGTGTTTCTGCGGTGCCTCACGTACTCCTTAGCCGGGGGCGCAGCGGTTGCTCGCGTGGTGCCGTCCACCCTCGTCACCAACCCGCGGGAGTTCAACATCTTCACGAGGCCGGTGCTGGTCACCAACTTGGCAACCACCGGAAACGGCACCGCCACGGTCATGGCCGAGTGAGTGTTTTTGTGGTTGCGTTTCCTCCTTCCGTGTGTGTTTTTTTGTGGTGTTGGCATCGACCGCGTCACATAGGTGGCCGGCGGCCGATGGTAATGCGTCTCTCGTGAGTGTTTTTATTCTTAGCATCGACCGCGCTAGCCTGCTTACGGATGTGTGTTTGTGCAGTTAGTCGAGTTTTTTTTTTCCATCATTTTGAGAACACAACTTCTCCCACAGATGGTAGTATGAGCCTGTCTATTCTGTTACGTGCTCTACCAAGACTGGCGCTACTACCGTAGATCGAGACAAAACGCTCGGTCTACTCTTCGCGCGACACGCTGCGGAGAGAGCACGCACCTGCTCAAGAATTGGGTAGGACCTACACGCACCTTTTCGACGACAATCAAAGCCCATCCTCTTCGAGAACCGACACGGGATAAACATCAACACCCTCAAGCCTACATTCCCTTCGGAGAGAAACGCTTCGGACGCGTAGTGAGGGTCCGATGTGCACAGTAGGTTCTCTCGCGCCCCGGGCTCTGAATACTTGCCGGGGAAACAGAAAGAACAATATTTTCCCGCGCACCCCGACACATTGTCGTGTTTCGAGCCCGGCGGAATGCTCTTCATGTTGTTGTTGCCGTTGTTGCTGTTGTAGGAAGTGTGCACCGTCGGCCTTTTCTTTTTCCCCGTGCTGGTACTGTGCACCATATGCTGCATCTCGCCGCTGGACTGGCTGTCTTTTGTGACAACAAGTCCCAACTGCGCCCCCCCCCCCCCCCCCCCCCCCNCCCCCCCCTCCACCAGGTACGTGGACGACAGCGGGGCCAACGTCCCGAGCAGCCTGTCGTTTCCTTCCGTGGCGGCCATGGCGTACGCCAGCAACGACGGCTACGAGGAGCTCCACCTCTTCTTCTCCGTCGCCTGGTTCGACACCGGCTCTTGGGCGTGGGCACACTTCTTCATCGAGTGGGGCACCAAGGGTGTCTTTCAGGTGGGGGGGGGGCGGGGGGCGGGACCGGGGAAGGACGTATCCATGCGCAGGCGAAGCCGGTAGCCGGTAAGCAGGTAACGGGTAACAGGTACAGCCGTTAGCCCGCATAGAAAGTTGGTAAGCCGATAAAGCTGGTTAGGCCGCAGCAGGTAAGCCCGTATTTTTAGCCGGTGGCCGGTAACGCCGGTAGCCGGTAAAGCCGGTAGCCGGTGAGCAGGTAGCGGGTAACAGGTGACGCCGGTAGCCCGACAAGAAAGTTGGTAAGCCAATAAAGATGTTGAGGCCGATAGCAGGTAAGCCCGTATTGATAGCCGGTAGACGGTAAAACCGGTAACTGGTAAAGCCGGTGGCCGGTGAAGCCGGTAGCCAATGAAGATGGTAATGCAGCAGCCGGTGAGACGGTGTCATCGCCGGTATCCGGTCTAGCGCCAGCAGATAAAAGACGTTAGCCAATATAGACAGTAAATAATGCTGTGGAAGGCGGTGAAGACGGTAACGCCGGAGAAGCCGGTTGCCGGTGTTGTGGTTGTCTATGTTGTTATCGTCGCTGACTTGTTGTTGGTGTTGCTGTTTGTTCATGGGCGGTCGCACTCGACGTTATTTGTCCTACGCTGGAGACGAAAAAGGAAGAGCGTCGGTCCGCGACGGCTCGCAATAACCAACCCATTGACCATGGTCCACCAGGCCGTCGGTCCACTTTCTTCCTCCCCCTCTCGCGGGATTTATTCGCCGCTTTGTTCGCGTTCAACCCACTAACCGACTAGCCGCCAACCAAGTAAAGCGACCAACCGACCGACGAACGTCGCTCTTCAGGGAGAGCGGCGATTCTACCTCGCCGGCATGGTGGACGATCTATTCCTCGCGACCGGGGTGTTCGAGTATGATGGCGACACCAACGAGGGGGCGGAGGTAATTACTTACTATGTGCGTTGTTTACTAACAAGTGCTTCGTTTTCCCCTCCCGTTTGGTACTCTCTCTGTCTCTCTTTGTCTCTCGCTCTGTGCGTCTCTCTTTCATTCTCTCCGTCTCTGTCTTCCTCTCTTTCTCTCTTTCTCTCGTTCTCCCTCCCTCCCTCTCTCTCCCTCTCTCTCCCTCTC